ACAAGCTGAATTGGAGAATTGTTGAGCCTGAGCTGAATATTAGAGGTGCTAAAACCTCTAGGACGATCACGCTGCTGGCCAAGAAAGGCAATGGCAGAGATCTTAGAGGGATTGAGTTTAATCTTCCACTTGGTGTAATAGTCGAAGAGGGCTCCAAGGTGGGTATTAAGCTCATTGGAAAGGCGGTGAGGATTAGATGACCGCATGAAGACAAGGCAGTCATCGGCGAAGCAGATTTGCTTAACAGGGGCCCGCGGAAAAGGAATGTCTGCTATAAACAGGTTAAAAAGAAGGGGTCCAAGAACCGAGCCCTGAGGGACACCGGCGTCGATGGGGAAATCTCGAGACAGAGAGGAACCGACTCGAACCTGAAAGGTTCTGCTGGACAGAAAATTGTGGACCACACTACAGAGCGCAGGGGAGAAGCCGAACTGGTGAAGCTTTAAAATTAAACCTTCAAACCAGACAGTATCAAAGGCTTTTTCAATGTCAAGACTTAATGCCACAGTGGGCTGCTTATTGAAAAAGCCTATGCATATCTCATTTTGGAGATGATGCAGGGCATGAAGAGTGGAGGTTTGGCTTCTGAAGCCAAACTGATAAGAAGGAATAATATTATTCCTTGAGGAGAAGGACTTCAGCTTGCTTGCTATGAAAGTCTCATAGAGCTTACTGACGGAGTTGAGGAGAGAAATGGGACGATAGCTGAAGGGGTCACATTTAGGTTTGCCACTCTTGGCAATGGGACAAACTATGGCCTTCCTCCATGGCTGGGGGAAGGAACCAGTGTTGTACGCATGGTTGAAGAGCATGGCGCACTTTTTAAAAAAGAGTGGTGAGAAACGCCTCATAGCGTAAAAAGACACGCAATCAGTGCCAGATGACTTTTTAGGGGCTTTAAGCCGAAGTATGTTAGTAAGATCAATTGGGGTGAGAAACCCTTGAGTGTCTTCAACATTGATGCAGTGAGCGGGAAACTGCGGGGAGAAAGTAACAATGCTTTCATTAAAAGCATCAAAAAGCCCATGCACTACAGAATTTGTAGTGGACATAAAGTGGCGCTCGCCTAGGCCAGCCGTAAGACGGTGATTAGTCACAAAGACTTCACCAAAGACGTTGGCTTTATCGAAGTCATCATATGCTATGGTGTTGCCATAGCGGAGATCAGAAATGGACCTATTTGATCCGCAGATTTGCCTGATCGTGCTGAAGACGTCAGGCCGGCACTGGGTGGCCCGAAGTTTGGCACTAAGGGAATTGAACCTGGCTTGGTTGACCCTCTGGGCAATTATGGTGTCCAGGTTCTTAAGGATAGCTTGGAACGCATGAGCTTGCGTGGATGCAACCTGTCTAAGGCGATAATATCTGCGGCGAAGCGATTTCCTCAGTTTAATGAGGTGAAGGGTAGTAGTATCAAGTGGAACTTGATAAAATTTGCGAACATGCACCTTCGGAACATGCTCATCAATTGTGGAGGCGAAGATGCTTTCAAGAGTAAGGGCAGCAAAATCAATCTCCACCGGAGTCATGTTCCTGTGTTCGGGAATGCTCAAATTGAGAAGGAGCTGGTCAAGAGTGAGATTGAACTCTGACCAGTTGGTGCTGGGAAAATTAAAAAAAGTGCGAGGACAGGCACGAGCAGCTCTGCAGTCGTGAAGCGCAAGCTTTACGGCTTGGTGGTCAGAAATGCCGTCGATGACTCGTGGGTCACCGAGGCTGGGAAGAAGGCGATTATCCGCTAAAAAAAAGTCAATGATACTATTGACATGAGTCGGAACCGAAGGAGCTACCACACTTAGAATAGGACTGACTGGGCTACTAGTTAGCCAGTTGAATAGCCTGGTGCCATTGAAACAAGAGGCAGCATTATTCCAAAAGGGGTGCTTACTATTAAAGTCACCACCGATAAGAAAGGGGTTAGGAGACAAGGAAGCAAGAGTGCCCAGATCATGTGGGTCAATGGAAGAAACAATAGAGTATGTGTGGTAGATGCAAAAGATATTGAGATCAGGGCGATTGGAGAGAGAAAGAGTAATACCAACCGCCTCAAGAGAAACAAGTGAGGGGATGTGAATCCTAGAACACTTGAGAGAGTCTTTTACCAAGATGGCGACTCCCCCACCGACGCCGTCCCTATCGAATCGGATAAAATTATATCCTCTGACATCAACAACGTCCCTGATATTGAGCCGTGTTTCAGTCACAAGGATGATATGAGGGTTGTTGCGTTCAGCAAAATCCGCGAAAAGAGCACGCCTAAGATTGGAGTGTATCGAATTGACATTTATGAGAATGATCCTTAGATCATTCATCTCAGTGCCAATTCGAGGACTTTCTGGACAAGAAAGGCTTTCTTGTCAGAATGGGGCAGAAGGCTGTACTGCTGTTTAATGCCAGCAGCAAAGGCGAAGATACCCTGAATATCAGGGAGAAAAGAGTCTGACTCAGGAGCACGAATAGGAGAAGGATTAGCTGTCTTAGGCAGCGAAATGGGTTTAGGGGTTGCGGCTTTAGCCGCAGAGGCAAATGAGACACCAGGTCTCACGAAATTTGACGGAGTCCTCAAGTCAATAGACATGAGGGGGGGGATTTTTTGCGCACGAGATTTATTGGCGCGAAGAGAACGCAGCTCCTTATATTTGGAGCAGCGGTAATTGGCCGGATGACCAGTCTGACCGCAGTTGCAGCACTTGGGGATAGTGGCTGCAAGTTGCTCCTGAGTAACTGGATCAAAAGCTGGAGGAGGAAGTTGACACTCGCCACGTAGATGAGACTCACCACAGCGTACACAACGGTGGGGGTAATTACACAGCTTAGCTGTGTGAAAATAGCGTTGACAATTTGAGCATTGAGGGATCTCATTACGAGATTTCTGCTCGAGTGAAATGATGATGTTAAGCGATGGAAGTCGCTTAACATTGAGAAGGGACTTTAAGTCTGTAGAAGGGATAGGATGGAGCTCCCAAATACAAGAATTGGCATACCTAGAGGGGTTACGCTTTGTGAAGCGCGCAGGTGGAGTGACCTTGGAGACCTTCGAGAAGGTGAACTCAGGTAAGTCAGTCGCCAAGGCCGACTTCAAGTCATCCTCATCATAGGATGAGGGGAAGTTCTTAAGGAGGACAGGAGTGACTCGGTCCTCAAAAGGAATGGAGGCAAAACTCTCAACTTTCTGCTCGCGGAGCAGGGAGTTGATGTTATAAAAGGTATCCTTACTCTTAGTTAGGATACGAGTGGTCGTGCCATTTATGCACTTAAACTCATAAGAGGCATTAGGAAAGGCTGATTTGATGGAGGAGCCAAGCTCCTTGACATTGACGCCACGGGCCGTAATGGCTGGTGGCTTGGAAGACTTAGTGGCCGAAGCCAACGGAACTGTAGAGGGAGTGGGAGGATTGGGACCCACAAGGACCTTAGTAGCTACAGAGGGCTTGGGTTTGGGCTTTGGCGCTGGCTTCGGGGTACTAATAATGCTACAGGCCGCCGCAGTAGAAGTGGAGGGGGGGACAGTATTTGCGGCGGAGGTTGAAGAGGAAGACTTTGGTAAGTTACTCGTGTACAGTGCCAGCTTGGTGGCAAGGAAGGAATTCTCAGCACGTAGCCGGGCGTTGGCAGCCTTAAGGGCTGCAACGGATTTTAAGACAGACTCAAGTTGCTCATCAACTAGCTTACGATTTTGGGAATAAGCAACAGTCCTGGGTCGTTTCAATAAAGGAGTGGGAGAGGTCGTTCCATTATCAGGTATATCATTACAGGTTTGCGTTCCTCCGTCTCTAACTTCCATTATTAAGAAGGAAAAGTGATAAACTCACGAGAATTAAGTTTTATAGGTACGAATAATTTGAATGAAAGAATAAGGAAAAGAGAATATATAAAAGAAAAATGTGGAAAATAGATAGACTAGGTAAAAGGTGTATATAAATATAGTAAGACTATAAATAAGATATAAACGTAATATAAATACAAATATAAATATAATTTAAATATAAATAATATATAGATACAACTATACATATAGTATAATACAATATACTAATAAATGTAAATATGACAAATTATAAATATATATACAATTATATATAATACAAATACAAATATAATGATATATAATATAATTACAATATAAAGTTAATACTAAATAACTACAAATGTATACAATGTATTGTATAAATAAGAGTAAAAAACAACAAAAAATGTTCCCTTTTGTTTTGTATAAATTTTGCGGCAACACTCACCGAGAATGAGAGTTGTCATGTAAATAATGATCAAGTC